AGCCCCCACGGTTGTTGTTGGGTGTGATGTGAGGCTTCTGGGGAGCCTCTCTGCCCTTCATGCTGGGGCACAGGACAGCTCGGTGTAGGGGGAAGAATTACAGTCAGGGACACCTGGCGTAGATCTTAGCTCAGATGCATCGGAGCCGCTGGCCTTTCTGGGCCTCGGTTTATTCATCTGTAAAATGAGGGGGTCGGCCCTGTCAGTTACTCAGGTTCCTCCCAGATCTAGATCTATGCTCCTGTGATCCTGGGGTTCAGACCCTTCGTGGTCCATACATGAGGCGCTTCTGCTCCCTGCTCCCAGAAGAAAGGTCTGTGCCTTGTAGGCGTCATCAGAATCAAGCAGCTTTATGGTCCTGCCAGTCCGGAGGCCGTCCCTCCAGCGTTCTCTCTTCCCCAGGGTCCTTCCCAGGGCAGAGACCTCCACGGGGGCAAACTCCCAGCTTGCCGTCAACAGACAAGTTCAATATCTTTCTGAGATAAGCACCCTTCCAGGGAACCGAGTCATGACCACCTGCTGCTCCCCACCTGCCCTCAGGACGTCCCGTCATGTCCCCTCTTCCCTGAGGACCGGGGGGCTGGGGCTGAGCCTCGGACTGGCTCTTTATCCCCAAAACATAAACAGGCCCATTTCTCTTCCTCCAAATAGGGCTTATCCTCACCAAACCTGAGGTCGTCTGTCATCTGGAACAAGGGGGTGAGCTGTGGAAGCCGGAGCGAGGAGTCCTGTGCTCAGGTGCGTCAGACATGATGAGGTCCTGCCGCCCTGGAGGGGTGAGGCCTTGTCTTAGTGAGGTCTGTGCAAGAAACTGAGGTCCCTTCCTACAGCTCAAGCCTGTTCTATCCTGAGGCCTGGCATTGTAACTTGAGGGTTATGCCTCCACTTCTAGACATGATCTTTCCACCTTAACTCCAGAGACTGTTTCTTTCCGCCTGTTCTAGGTCTTCATTCAGACAACTCCGTGCTCTGTCTTTGTCATCCTTACTCTCTGGGTTCAATGAACATTTAGTAAAACCCTACTGTATATGTGAGGCTAGATGCTTTTGAGTGTAGAGAGATGAAAAAGACCCAAGGGGCTGATTGAAGGGGAGATAAAATGGGGAGCAAAGTCACCATCATCCATATCAGAACATGCTCAAGGCCATGACCAGGAGCAGGGAGCCTATGGCAAGATGGAGGCGAGAGGCCAGTCTGGACAGGAGGAAGGCAAGGGAAGGGCATGGTCTGGGCAGGATGAGTGCTCTAATTATTAGCCAGGGCCTCAGGTTTGTGGGGGACACCAGTATGAGAAGAAGGGGCAAGATAGGCCAAAGCTAGATTGTGAAGGGCTTGGAATTAAGGCATGTGATGTTTAAAAAGGTTCAAGAGACATAGTTTGTGGGTAAATTAATCATTTTATTAATAAGGCCAGCAGGTTATTAATAAAAGGATGGTCATTTGTCCATCTCTGTTAGACCAAAGACAATCATGGTGGCGGACTCAGTTTATATACCCTTCAGAACATTAGGTGGTCCATCAAACAGCAATCAAATCCAATTGGTTAATGTGATTGGAGGTGGGCTGTATTAAAAAGAAGGGCTGAGTATCTCTTGGTTGGGAAAGTGGTTGTTTGTCCTTGGTTCTGGAAGAGGACCATGACATCAAGAAGGTGATGCCTTGATTTGCAAGTGAATTGGATTTGAGTGAGGGAGGGCTATGTAAAATCGCCAGCCTCATTTTCTCCTTCTGAGCCATCTGGGACCAGTGGCAAGATCTAGATCAGGGTGACTGGAAATGGCCTTGGGGGGTGGGGTGGTGGTGGAGTATTTCTATATCGGACCACCCATAGCTTTAGGCTATCAATTCGAAGAATGTGTGCCCCACCCCAGCCTGAGCAGAACACAGTAACTTCCAAGTGCATCTAGTCTCATCATCTGTAGGGTCCTTAAGAACTGAACTTAAGGTCAAGACTTTGTAAGAAGTGGGGGAGCTCTGGATCTCCCCAAGATATCGGTTATTAATCATCTTTCTCTCATGCGTCTAAACTTGACAGAGCTGTCCTGTCTGTGGGAGGTTGGGGAACAGAGGGGTGAGCTGATCAAAGGTATGCGTTAGGAAGACCAATCTGGCTGAATTCTGGATTAGTTCAGTGGGCTTCCCATCCAGCCGCAGACCCAGCATGGAGAGTAAGTCTTCTTCACCATTTGATCTTTCCTCTGGGGATTGTTTTAGTGGCCTGGAACTCATTGAGGGGGCTCCATCACACCCTGAGACTTAAATCAATACCATCCCCACATGTGAGCATCTGGAGGACTTTATCCCGTCCAGGGAAGCCCTCTTCCATTTGGACACTGTGGGTGCCATCTTTCATGATGGCGTCAGGCCTGTTTTGTGCCACATTTGGTATTGTTCATCACAGGACCACGTATCTCCACTCACATCTGTCATGGAGTCTCATCCCCTTCTCTCCTTGATCCTTTGCCTTCTGTACCTCCCCTCTTGAGATATTCTTGGATGACACCACGTTAAACATTTAGGGCTGCATTTTATACCCCTGAATCTGATGGTTTGTTTTTTTTAACGATCACCCGATAAACGCCAGGGGACCTTGGGTTTGGTGCACCTTCCAGTCACCTGGGCACTGGCGAGCCATGGTCTGCCTGCTTCTCTTTCTTTTGTTGAACTCACACTCAATGTGTTTAGACATTTTCAGAGATAAAAAGATAGACCTGAGTGGTTTTTTTAAATCGCCAATTTTATTAATATGGATCAACACAATAGTTAGTCAAATAGGCTTAGAAAACAGGGTGGAATCTTGGCCCAGATCCATGGCCTTTGTCACAGCGGAACCAGAAGAAAAAACAAACAGTAAACAAAGAAAGAAGATGCTTTGGTTCCTTGACCAGTTCCAGGACTGCCCCAAATTCCACCACCTTTGGCCCTGTTTCATTTCCTTCTTTCTTTATAAAAGAATGTAGTTGTGCTCAGTGTGCGGATGTCCTGATTCTGCTGACTTTGCCTGGGGTCACGACTCTGCCCTTCCAGGTGCCTTAGCGCGTTGTTCCACGCGTCAGCTCTTTGTGGGTTCACTTTAATGTTTCTTCTTTTAAAAGTTTGAGGTTTCCCTTCAAGAACGCTGCTGCAGAATTGTTAGGTGCATCTCTGTTTCACATTGCTGGGTGACATCTTCCCTGATCTCCTTTAACATTATCCACTTTCATCTGTAAATGCTCCCAGGGTGATGGGACTTAGCTGGGTTTCACACCATGCCCAACAGACTTATTTTTAACCTTCTGCTGCACCTTGCTGTCTTATGAAGCAACACCCCTCATAGTCTTTCTCTATTCTCACTAAGGTTTTTCTAAATAAATTTATAATCTATGCTACTATATGTGTGTGTGTGCACGCAGCTAGGTGGCACCATAGTGCATAGAGTGCTGGGCCTGGAGTCTTGAGTTCAAATCCAGCCTCAAGACACTTACTAGCTGTGTGACCCTGGGCAAGTCACTTCCCCCTGGTTGCCTCAGTTTCCTCATCTGTAAAATGAGCCGGAGAAGGAAATGGCAAACCACTCCAATATCTCTGCCAAGAAAACCTCAAATGGGGTCAAGAAGTTGTACACGACTCAATGACAAAATATATATGCATATGTAAATATATAAATACATACACACATATATATTACACACGCACGCGCGCACACACACACTTTATGTTGACCTAGTTTCTTTCTCTTGCTCCTCCTCCAACATAAACTCCAATTGTCTTCCTGTTTGCTTGGGCTCCCCTTGAGGCTTCAGGGTGAGATGAGCCATCATCCCGTGAAGTTCTCGTCCTTGTTTCCTTTCTGTGCACGATACAAGCAGCTCCTTTGCTAGCCTTTCCTAGTGGTCTGGTGGGATCTAGTGGAGCTTAGGCCTGGGCCACCGGCCCACCTCAGCATGCTGAGGCTTCTGAGGAGGGGGCATGATCAGGTAAGGCTCCACGGAAGGAGGTGGAGCTTTAGCTGAGCTCTGAAAAATGGGTAAGCTTTAGGTAGATGGGAAGGAAGGGGAAAGGCACAGAACCCAGCAGGAAAAGGAAGAACCCAAGGCCAGAATGATCAGTCCCAACCCGGGTGAACCGCAGCATGCAGCGATGGGTAGGATTGGGTATGTGCTGTTGGACCAGATCGTGGCACAGTTCTTGAATTCCAGGAGGACTCTCATCTTTGCCTTACAGCTGGGAAGCCATCACAGGGATTTTAGCAAGGGATAGATTCAGTAAAGTTGATATTTTCGGCAAATTTAATGGGTAGCAATGTTCAGAATAGACTGGAGGTAGAAGGGGGAACGTTTAGGGAGACGACATTATTGACTGCATTCTGTTTCCTTTCATTCACAGTTCCTCAGTTTAACCTGTCCACCCACCAGTTTTCCCACCTCCCAGCCCATCTTCTGCATGGACTTTATTCGCTAAACACTAGACCCCTAGAGGCCCCTCAACCCACTTCTCCTTTTCCACTTTTGATCTTCTTCCTGGATTTCATGGGCTTTATTGGAGAGTTATCAAAGACATATAGTCCTGGCTGATGTTATTTTGAGCTTCATTATCCCCATCTCACCACAGCAGTTTCCTTTTTCTCAACACAGAGCACAGAGGATATTTCTTTCTTTTCTTTCTTTTTTTTTTTTTTAAATTTCTTTCAGCTTGGGAGATCAAGGCCAAGACCAAGGTATTATCTCCAAAGTGGGACAGTTCTGAAGAAAGATCACCTCAGGGAGTAATTACAAAGAATGGTCCCTCACAATCCAAGTTGAAAGAAGCCTGGAAATGTGAGGGCAGGTTTGAGAGGGAGCAGAGAACTAAGGAGGGACATAGGAGGCGAGTGACAGTCACACACAAGAAAAATGCCACTGAGGAGAGAGTCTCTGAGTGTGGTGGATTTGAGGGGAGCTTTGTGACACAGCAGAGAATCCCTGAAGATGAGAGACCCCAAAACTGTGATAAACATGGAAATAGCCTCAAACAGAATTCAGACCAAACTAAGCACCAGAAAATCCATACTGGAGAGAAGTCCTATGAATGTGATCAGTGTGGGAAGGCCTTCAGCCAGAGCATGTGCCTTACCCAACATCAAAGAATTCATACTGGTGAGAAACCCTATGAATGTAATGAATGTGGAAAGGCCTTTAGCCAGATCTCATCCCTTTATTCCCATAATAGAACTCATACTGGAGAGAAGCCTTATGCATGCAGTGAATGTGAGAAGGCCTTTAGTTACCATGCATCTCTCACTCAACATATGCAAACTCATACTGGAGAGAAACCCTATGAATGCAATGAATGTGGGAAGGCTTTTAGTCGGAGCACTTATATTATTGAACATCAGAGAATTCATACTGGAGAGAAACCCTACGAATGTACTGACTGTGGGAAAACCTTCAGGTACTGCTCATCTCTTACTCAACATCAGAGAATTCACACTGGAGCAAAACCGTATAAATGCGGCGAATGTGGAAAAGCCTTCAGATACTACTCAGTCCTTACACAGCATCGGAAAACTCATACTGGAGAGAAACCCTATGAGTGTAGCGAATGTGGAAAAACTTTCAGACAGAGCTCAGCCCTTTATTCCCATCAGAGAATTCATACTAGAGAAAAACCCTATTTATGTAGTGAATGTGGAAAAGTCTTTAGCCAGAATTCAACTCTTACTCGCCATCAGCAAACACACACTGGAGAAAAACCGTATGAATGCAGCGAATGTGGGAAAGCCTTCCGACTGAACTCAGCTCTCTTTTCACATCAGAAAACACATCCTGGAGGGAAACCCTACAAATGTAATCAGTGTGGGAAAGGCTTCAGCCAGAGCTCATCACTTTCTTACCATCAGAGAACTCATACTGGAGAGAAACCATATGAATGTAGTGAATGTGGGAAATCCTTCAGCCGGAAGACGTTCCTCACTCAGCATCAGAGAATTCATACTGGAGAGAAACCTTATGCGTGTAATGAGTGTGGGAGTGCCTTCAGTAGGCGTGCAGCCCTCACCAAACATCAAAAACTGCACGCTGCAGAATTAACCCCAGGAGCACAATGAAAGGGAGGGAAGTTTAACTTGGAATTGTTCACTCTGTTAAATGCCCAGATAACATTATTGTCAGCAATTATGACGTTGGGATGTGAGTGGGAAAAAAGGCTGGGGGGAGCCTTTTACTTTAGCGGTCTTCAAGGGTCGTAGACTCATACAGGTTCAAGTAGGCTGTACCCTAGTCTGAGCATAGAACTAATACCCCCTAACTTATGAATCTGCTTTATAAGATAGAAACCTTTTTTGATCAAAATAATTTTTTAAATTTAATTTTTCCCAGTAATAAAAACCTACCTTTTCTCTTTCCTACCTCCTCATTGAAAAAGAAAGAAAAACCAAAATTTTTTTTTTAAACAAATATGTATAGGCAAATAAAACAAATTCCAACATTGCTTGTGTCAAAAAAAAAATGTTTTTTCCTGCACCCCGAATCCATCACTTCTCTCTCAGGAAGTGGGCAGCATTTTCATCACGAGGCCTCTGGAATTGTGGGTTGGTCACAAAGTAGCTTAGACTTGAATACTAAACAATGCAATAAAATTTAAAGGTAAGCGTTTATATTTTTTTGCGGGGGGGGGGGCTAGGCAATGGGTATAAGTGACTTGCTGAAGGTCATACAGCTAGTAAGTGTTATGTGTCTGAGGCCGGATATGAGCTCAAGCCCTTCTGAATCTAGGGCTAGTGCTCTATCCACTGCACCACCTAGCTACCCCAAAGGTAAGCTTTTAGAACAAAGGAATGAAAGAAATATATAGATGATTCTTTTTACTTTCATTAGAGATTTAGATCTCTTCCTGAGATGTCTAATCTTAGTCCTTTTTGTGTCTTAAGGCTTTTTTTTTTCCTTAGCCTCACTCCAAGTTTAACTTTTCCATACCCAAGTATCCTTTATTTTTAGTTTATTGTCTGTTCTTCCCCCGTCCCCCCCCCATTCTCACCCCAGCTGGGTGTGTCTGAGCTAGCCCTACATACAGTATGACATGGGCATGTGGTTACCTCATTTTCCCACCTAATTTTTACTCTTCTAGCTTGGAGTTTTGATGCATTTCTCTCTCCCTCTGCCCAGCAATAGCACATGATCCAAGGGGCAAACAAGATGATTCCTAGTCAAAGGGGACATGGTGTGTCCCAGTGTTCCTAACCACAGATGAAATTGCACATTGCTTTTAAAATGCTTGCTGCCCCCAGTCATTTCTCTTTATGTCCCATATTCTCCCTGTAACTTACTGGGCTGTGACTACCGAAAGAGTATAATCGCGTAAGAGTAAATCATAGTCATCCAAAGTACAGCACAAAGAGGCTTGTTGGGCATAATGTAGGCAGCAACATAATTCCTGAGATCGCTTATGTGTAACAAGGGATGTAAAAGAAGTCATTAAGCATATGTGTGACTGAGATAGGAGGTGAGCTGGTAATGGAGTGAGAATAAGAAAGAATAAACGGACAGTTCGTCTGCCTCGCTGACACCCACAAGACACTAAAAGGACTAGAGGAAATCCTCCAGCTGACTCAGCAGTGGAGGCTTCATAGATGAATGGTTCAGAGTCACGCAAGATAAGGAAGTCTGGAGGAGGGACTGTAGGATGCATTGGGGAAAGAAATGCTCTCACCCGTGAAGTAATGGGTCTGTTGAAATGTGAAAGTAGACTCTGGTGTCCATTTCATACTCCTCTCCCATAGCTCTGTATATACAGCAAATAAAGGGGTATTTGAAAATCAACAAAGGAAAACATGAGACCGTCTCCAGTCTGAAAAGGGCTGGAACAAACCCTGGGAGAGGCAGAGAGGTGAATAGAGGTACTTGAGGGATGGGATGTGGTTGGGAAAAACCAACAAGGACTATAGCACAGGAAAATGAAGTTACTGCAATGGGTGTTAGAGACAGCCCATTTCCCAGGGAAATCCAAACTAGTGCAATGGAGCCAGTTGGGATTCAGGAAATGTTTTTTTCAGTTGTCAACCTAGGTGACTTTCTGTTTGTCACATTGTATGTTTAGGGCTGCAGAGCCAACCCTGTGAATGTTGACAGTACTTCTGAGATGTTTTCCTTGCTTATTAGCTAAGTAGTACACCAGTTAGAGCAAGGCTGAAGGAATTGGAAATGCCTGATTACAAATTAAATACCCTTGACACCAAATACAGCTATTATTAACCAGTGCTTACCTAAGTCTTGGCTCTTTCTGCTTTGAGAAGAACCTTTCATTTTCCCACATTTGTGGGTTACAAGTCCCCAGCTGCTTCCTGGGTACCCTCTTCACTGCCTCTTTGAGACAGATGTTTCCACTAATAGAAGTAGAGCCCAGGGGAAGTTCATTTATGAGAACCTGGAAAATGAAGATGCTTTCCCACATCCAGGCACGAAAACATGCATGTGCCTTCAAGATGGCAAATTGTTTGATTCTGTTAAACTCATGCCTTCTTTATTCTGCTCACCACAGTTCAGGTGCCATAATACTATTCCCCTCTCCACCTTCTTATCCAAACTGATTTGTACCTATATTCAGTCTTGCTTACACTACCACACCAATGACTGATGCTTAACGTAGAAAACCCCGAAACGGTTCACACGAACCTGTAAGACCATTATGAGTGGTCAAAGATACCTGCAAATAAAAAGTGAGCAGACAGCTATAGAGGCTGGGACAGGGGTGGGGGGGTGGAGATCTGGTAGGGGCTAGCACCAGGAAACTACAGATAAGCCTTAAATCGACCTGTCTGACTGAGCCCCTAGGTCATTCTCCATTGCTCAGTTTGATGGCCTACTGATTTGATGGCAGCTTCTGGACTCTGTGTGCTCACACACTATCTCCCTGCCCTCTCCTCCTCCTCTGCTGTGCATGCACAGATCTAGGCTTAGGCTTAGATCTACACTTCCTGGAACCTCACCCAGCCATGGAGCTGGTGGAAGGGCCAGAAGACATCTTTATCAAAGTAATCCTTGGATTCGTGAAGGCACTAGGGCTGTCTCCAGTACTTTATGGGATGGGAAGGATGTGGGCTAAGAAAGAAGCTGGAGTCAGCACTTTCACACCCCCTGAATTAGTGGAGGAATACAGCTTCCTCCCAGTCTCAGATTATGGGTCCTAGGGAGAATCTTGGAGGGTTGGAATGGTGCTCACTGCTGTGTAGAAATGGTTATTTGCCCTCTGGCTAATGTGTGTGTAGTAGTAGTAATAGGGGAAGAGCAGTCCAGGTCTTCTGTCAGTCTTCTGTCTGTCTCCTGATCAGGGACCTTTCTATAGTGGTCTTTCCCTGCTCCCCAAGTTTGAACAACTTCAGCCTGGATCATGGAGAAATCACAGCAAACGAAGGGAAAATGAATGGTAGATACTATTCTAACTTTTTACAGCTGTGCCTCCAGCTTTCTTTCCTAGTTCTCCCAGCTTTGCTTATCCTTATACAATTACATTAACTTTTTCCCATCAAGGCCTAATTAAGCCTGCAAAGTTACAAGATGTTGGACCCTGGGGGCTCCCTGCCTCTCAGCTCCTCGTGAAGACCCCCAAATGGAATTACTCCGCAGTTCAACATCTTTAGAGTACTTCCTGGCCATCGGGGATGTCCTTCCCAGAATGCTCCTAACTCATTCTTCCTTTCTCTTGGTGAATAGTCAGATAGTTTTAGGACTAGCTTCTGATGAACCTCAGAAGCTTCTTCCAGGAGACCTTTTAAAGGGGTTCAACTTTTTTTTTTTAAGTTTGTACACTGACTTTATTATTCAGATTCTCACCTAGGGGATCCTAGACTGAGATCCCATTGGGTGCATGCACTTAGATGGGATGAAGAGCATGGTCAGCATGGCCCATTTTGCCCCAGCTTTTCTCCCTCTACCCATTACATCTTGTTCCCTTAGCCCTTATGCCTTCTGATTTCCAGATCCTGTCCTTTGTTTTGCTCTTCACCAGCCCAAACTAGTTAGTGAGGGCCAAGAAGGTTTGGACCTCAGGCAAGGCCTTCAGGCAACAATGACCATTCCTTTATTTTTATATGTATTTGGATAGGTAGCAGAATATCTTAGCATTGGTCATCCCCAAAGAGTCTAAACGGGAGGAGTCTCAGTTACCGCTCAAGAATTATCTGCCATAGGAACCCACCCTGGGTAAACAATGGTGTCCATTTCATGCCCATTACAGGCTGAAACTTCCCTCTCCTCACCTTCCTTCTTTCCCCACTTCTATTTGTTAAGAGTCACAGGACAGACTTTTTAAAATGGCCTGGTCTTCCATGAATTTGCTAGGAGTACAATGGTGAAGGACTGAGTATTGGGCATCCATCCCCTCAGACCTCTCCCTGCTCAGTCCCCACCATGTGCCCCTTTCATTCCTCCCTTTTCTTCCTATCCCCGGGATTTCTTTGTATTTCAATCCCTTATCTCCCTGACCCCCTAACCGCTCTTCCAATGAAACATGAAAGGGAGGTGCAGACACTTTCCAAATTCATTGTCAAAATTGATTTGCTCTCTTGCTCATAAGCAAAGGGGGCATTTCCTAGTGCCTATAGGTTAAAGACCAAACATCCTGCCATTTGTGCCCATCCAACCCCCATAGTCTCACTTCAACCTCCCTTTCTAGCTCTATTTCTTAAATGTAGTGATGTAAGGTCCGGAATCACCGTAGCTGGGGACCTCCCCCATAACTGTGGGGTGTTCTTTTTATACCAAAGGAAGAGGCTAAGTATCTCCAGATTGATTTTAGGTAGCAGTTTAATCAGTCATTATGAATACTTACAAACAGGGGCGATCTTTGGTCTGGGGTAGCAGCCAGACAGTTCAGTGGATTCCTGTGAAGAACTCCAAAAATCCCCATGGTAATTATAGAAAACAGATAAAGGCTGGAGGAGCTAGAGAATGCATCACCGATAACTGGTGGATATTTTTGGCTTTCTGCTTAGTAATGAGCTTGGGAGTTAAGCCAATGAATTTACTTATCGATGGTGTCCCTGTCACAGATAGGTCCCGATATTCCTTGTTTTGGCTTTCATAGGTCATAGTATCTTAAGTTATGACTCAGTGTCTAAAATATAATTCAGTATCCGAGTTATGATAGTAAACAGGTCACCATGTTCGGGCTTCCACCTTTCACAGAGTTTATTTTTATGGCTTTTCACTTATTACTGTATTTTATGGCTTTTTCCCAATCGGGATCCCACAAGTGATATATTTTGTTTTGACACAATAGGCCCCCTACCCAATAGACTCTATTACAAAGTATTCCCTCCAAGACAGCTTATCAGCTATCAATAGGAAGGTTATATCCCAGGTCTGAGAGTAAGGTATGTCGTTGGCCACCATACTTGACTAGGATGCTGTTGTCTTCATTTACATTGTTATGGTGATTATGTGTTTTTGGTTCTGATTTTTTTTTTCTTTTTGTTGTCACTCTTGGTAGTTTAATTTGACAGTGTTCTGGAGATATCAGAATAATTCTCTTTGTTCTCATTTTGACATTTACCAATCTTTTTTTAAAGGGATTGATCTCTTTTCTTTCCCGTCATCTTCATTTCCAAATCTCTCTCACCTCCCTCCCTTCCCCAGGAAGCCATCCTTTGTCATGAAGAATAAAGAAGTTTTCTCTCTCTTTCCTGATCTTATTTCATCTCATGACATCACCCGTCCCCTTGGAAAACAAAGCATCACCACCAACAAGTCTTATTTCACAGGACTCATTGTTTGGTCACACCTCCAGCTGTTGAAATCCCATTTCAAGGGTCTCAGGTGCCACCTCCACCATGAAACCTTCTCACATCCCTACAGCTAGGAGTGATTCCTCCCTCAGTGAATTTCGTAGGCCCTTTGGGTCTCTCCTGCTCACTTGGACATAGTCTAATTTGGATTGGAGTTATTGGTGTAACTGTCTGCTCAGCCTGTTAAGACTGAAAGCTTTTGGAGGGTAGGGAGCTTATTTTTATCTTTATGTCTCCACAGGGCCTTGCACATAGTAGGCTCTTAATAAATATTTGTTGACATTCCTAAAGTACCAGTAACCTTGGATTTGGGAATGAGCCACAAAACTGCATTTATTTATAAATACCTCTCCTCTGATTGCTCAGCAGCTAGGAGGTGACCGTGGGCACGTGAATGTTATGCTGATGGAACACAAAGTCCAAAAGGTCCTACTGAGCTGGCAAGACTTTAAGTCCAGGCCTGGCCGCAGCTCTCCAAGGACCAGCCTGAAGGCTTATCCTCATGCAGACAGATGGGATATCCATCTCCCAATCCTATAGCATTCTGAAAGGAAAAGCTGATAAACATCAATATGTTTTCTCTTGGTAATGGTCTGGAAAGCATTATCTATGATGGTTCCAGAGCACTTCTCTAGAGAAAATGAGATAAATTACTAAATAAGCAAATAAGAGACAGTTTTTCAGTCCTGTCTGACTCTTCGTAACCCCATTTAGGATTTTCTTGGCAGAGACACTGGAGTGATTTGCCATTTCCTTCTCCAGTTCACTTTACAGATGAGGAAACTGAGGCAAGCAGGGTTAAGTGACTTGCTCAGGGTCACACAACTAGTAAGTATCTGAGGCCAGATTTGAACTCGGGTCTTCCTGGCTCTAGACCTTCTATTTTGTTGTTTGTCCTTCGTTCTGGAAGTGGGCCAACAGCATCATGGGTGATGTGTTGACTTGGCCATAAATTGGATTTAAGTGAGGCAGAGCTGCACAGAGTCGTCAGCCTCACACTTTCCTGCAGTCATCAAAGTCCAGTGGCAGGACAAAGGTGAAGTCAACTGGCAATGGCCTGGGATGCAGTGGATGACCTTGGCCTTTCTAAATTAAGGTCTTTGCTAGGCCTCAGTTTGTGTGAGGCAACACCCATTCAATGACTAAGGGCTAGGTAAGAATTGAGACAAAAGATGGCTTACTAAGGGCATCCCCAGCCTGAAGCAACCGTTCCATTTCTTGTGTTTCTCTGTTTTGTCAGTCTTAACATATCATGTTATGACTTTACATAGATTATTCAGTCCTCACAATAACCCTTAAGAACCATACCCTCGTTCTTCTACAATGGAAGACACTGTGGAAAGGGAGATACCTGGGTTTTTTTTTTAACTTTATTAAATTTTTCAGTGAATGAATGCATTTTCTCTTCTTCCTATTCCCTTGCACACACACCCCCCCACCCCAACCCTGCTGGGAGAAAAAAAAGAAAAAGAAAACTTTGGCATTTCTATGCCTTTGTAGGCTGTGCTCCAGGCCAGGAGTGCCCTCCCTCTTCACCTTCTCCTCTTAGAATCACCAGCTTCCTTCAAAACAAAGCTCCAGTGCCACACCCTCCAGAATTCCTCTTCCAATTCCCTCCAGCTTCTGGCACCTGGCCCCCCAGATATCTTGCATTTTTACATTTTTTTAAGTGTGTCTCCTCTGGTAGAATGTAAGCTCTTTGAGGGCAGGGGGGCTGTTTCTTTTTTGTCTCTGTAACCCCAGTGCAGAGCAGTGTCTGGCACACCGTATTCACCGTAATAAATATTAGTTGGTTGAATGATAAAGACTGAATTAAAGTTGAGACTACTGGCAGAGAATAGGGGTGGACTGTCCAAGGTCCGGCCTAGAGGGCTGAAAGCCCAGACATCCGTGTGCCCAGCAAGTAGAAGGGGTCACCTCACCCCCAAGATAACTTTACCTACTACACAACCAGGATGACCCCTTTGAACCTTGTTGCCCCCAACCTTCCCCTGTGGCTCAGGACCCCCAAAAAGAAGAATTCCCAGGCCTGAGGGGTTAGGAAGCATCATGGTGAGCCCAAGGATCTGGGTGGAGTTTCAGAATGGGGGCAGGCGAGGAGAAGCTACTGGAAACATGGGACAGGGAGAGGCAAGACCTCACCCCAAGAAGATAGATACTACTGATGAGGGGATGACCCTACCAGGGAAGGCTCTCCTTCCATGGAAATACCCTTTTCCCCCAACCTATCCTCTATTGGAATTCTATTGGAACTGGGGGGTGGGGACTTCTTTGATACACAAAATGCTAGCAATTAGGGGCTTCAGAGAGGCTGCTGGGGGTGGGGAGGGTCTGGCGGTGCCCATAGAGACAGTCCAAAAGACAAATTCTGGCTTTGTTAGCAGTCCCCTTGGGGGAAAGTTTTACTGACTCCCAGCCCCAGCCCTCTCTCCAGTTCTGGCTCTGGTGCCACCTTTTCCAGGCCCATCTTCTGTGCTGTCTTACTTTTTATTCGAATGGGGAAAGGAGGCCCAGCCCAAGAAAAAGACACTATAACCAGTTCCTAGGAGGGTGAAGGAAGAAAGGGAAAAGTGAGGGGTGTCCCAACCTGTGCCTGACCTCTCCCCACCAGATCCCCAGCTTCCAGCAGCACTCAGTACCCTCCCCACACCCGCACCCAGAGTCTAGAGTGGCCAGAGGATGGCAGATACCCCAGCCCAACCTGGGGACCCCCTAGACAAGACCGAGATGCCCAGAGAGAATTTAGGGTCCTCACACCCTGGACAGAAAGCCTCCCAATCTAGGGTTTAAACATCCCAGTAACTCAATATCAACTCCTCTTTTCCCTTCTTAATAACTCACCTCCCAAGGCTATGACCATGGTTGTGCCATATAGTAATCTATCTGTGGGCCCACCCTTCAGGTAGACTGGGAGATCATTGTTTTCCTGGGATGGAGACCATGAGAATAGGTAAGGGCATAGTCTTTGCCCTCACTCCCAAGGGTTCAAGCAAGGTTCTACAGTCAGGACTCCTGAAGGGGTTTCCTCCCCCTGCCCCTTGGGTGGAGGTCTCAGCCCTCCACCAGAAACCAGCGTCCCTCAGACCACAGAGGAATTGTTGGGGTCCCTGAGGGAGAGGACAGAACTGTGAATTGAGGGGGAGTCCCAAGGAAGGGGGCCATTAGGCAAAGAGGGGGCAGGTCTTGGGCTCCTCCCAACCTGAAAGAGTTTCTGTTTCTCTGCTACTTTGTTCTGAAAGAGGTTTCTGGCGCTGGAGCTGAAGGATCGGAGGAGAGCTCTGGTATGGGACACCTGGGAGGAGGGGCACACAGTGGATGTCATGAGACAGGTCCCAGGGTTTACAGGGAACTATAATATTAGAAGGAGCTGGGGTGAGGGTCTAAGGTCAGAGTGGGGTGGGGTGGTAAATCCCTGACATCTGGCACTTGCATCAGAATCTCAGCTTTGGATGGAACCCCATTAATCCTCTACACACGCCACCAGATTGGGGTGGGGGTACAGGGATGGGAGGTGCAGAAAGTGGCTTTGGGGGAGAATGGAGCTGACTCCATTTAGTGCTATATTCGCTGTTAATGATATTTCTTTCTTTTTCTGGGAAACTTTACTGATAGCCTTCTTCTGTGTTCCTCCCAGCCTTCAATCTCTTAACAGTTACAAAAGCAAATTCTTTGTACTTTGAATAGTTACCCGGAACTCATCCTCTTCTCTTTATTCTATCTAGTAGGGCGCACAGTAGGAGCTTAACAAATGCTAATTAACTGACTGATAAAAATAGGTCCGGTTTAAATTGCTATGCTAAAGATCTTTGTAGCCTTAAGGTTAAGCATCCTTTTTCTTTGGCTAAAACTATCCCTTTCCAAGTCTTACCAGACCTTAACCAGACCTGCTTTGTAAGCCTGCCTAGGTGAGCTACCTCATCTTTCCCCAGCTCTGGGTCACCGAGCTCAGGAGGTGAGACTCTGTCATCTGTGGAGTGGTGAGAGACACGTGTCTATCACCTCCTGCGGGGTGGGTCACACTCTGGAGTGCCTAAAGAAGCTGTACCTGTCACCTGGGCTGGCCTGTTCATACAGTGGCTAGTAAGGAACCTGAAAATCCTCGTAATGGGGTATAGGAGACGGCTCCGTCCCTGCCTATGGTCGGAAGGGGACCAGGAAAGGGTCCCAAATCGGGAGGTCAGAGGGGGCTGGGGGCGCTCACCAGCAAGCCCCTCATGATGCGTCCTATCCGTGACAAGGCCCTACTCCAACAGACCGAGGGCACGAGGCCGCTCGGCCGGCAAGAGGCATTCTCTCGGGCTCACGCGCTGCGCCCCTTCCGCCCCTTCCACACCTTCCATACCTGCGCGTCTTTCAGCCTTGGTCCCAGCATCCTCAGAGAAGAGGCTCCCACTGCCTGGGGGCTGTGGCCGCAGGCGCGAGCCGGCTTCCTATTGGCCGAAGGGGAAAGAGGAGGGGCCAGCGATGGACCAGAGAAATGCGCTTCTCAGCGGGAAAGCGCCCCTGGGGCAGATTCCCCTGGGTTCGAAGCGGGAGGGTTAGGGATGCTAACGCTCACACATCCGGGACGGTGTTGTTCCTTGAGCCCCTGTGGAATCACCGAAGACCCGGAGTCAGGCCCCCGATTTGTCCCGGGCTAGCTCCACAGCCCTGCGTATACGTTAGGCTGACTGTGTGAAAATCATGAAAGCCGGGAGGGCTCCTCCTGCTTTCTCTCCTCTTCCTCTTCTTCCTCCTCCTCCCCTTTTCCTCCTTCCCCTCCCCCTCCCCTCCCTCTCTTTTTCTTTCTTCCCTCCTCCTCCTCCGAATTTGTTAAGACTCTTTTTTTCTATTTTTTCCCACCAGTTTATGTAGTGTTGGAGTTAATTATTCGTTACATGATTGATAGGATTCACGTGTTAATCCATCTAGTGTTTAGGGTTTTTCCATTTATGGCTTATTCAGTTTCAAAGACTGGATTAAAGTGCTCTATTTCTTGTTAATCACTTTCTGTTAATCTGGGCATTTTATGTTTTTGTAAATATTCATCCATTTCATTTGAATTGTGATTTCATTGGCATATAATTGGGCAAATCGTTCCTAATAATTTCTCTTATTTCTTCATTTGTTGGGAATTTAATACTGGTAATTTGGTTTTCTTTTTTAAAAAAAAATTAATTAGCTGGTCACTTACTGTTTTGTTGTCTTTTTAAAAAACTGCTCCTAGTTTTATTCATTAATTCAGCGGGGGGGGGATTTAATTTCAATTTTCAGGATTCTATTTTGGCATTTAGTTTGGGGTTCTTAATCTTCGCTTCAAAGATCCTTTAATGAATATAATTTTTATTGCTTCTTGGTCTGTAAATAATGTATTTAATGCTTCTGCTTTTTCTGCATTTATTTGTGAGGTTTTTATGTCTTACTACATGATCAATTTTTGTGAGGGTATCATGCATAGCTATGATTATGTGTGCTTATAGGCTCGTTTGTCATATGTGTATGTATACATATAATATGTATGTGTATGCATGTATGTATGTGTGTATAAAATGTATACTCCTTTCTATTCCCATCCAATAATCTCCAGATAGCTATCATCTCTAACTTTTCTAAAATTCTATTCCTCCATTTCTTTTTTGTTTCTTTTTTGGTCAGATTTACTTAAGTATGAAAGGGGTGAATTGAGGTCCCTCATTATTATAGTTTCACTGTCTATTTCTCTCTGTAATTTATTTAACTCTTTCTTTAGGCATTTAGATGCTATTCCATTTGGTGCATATATGTTCAGTATTCATGTATCCATTCATTATCTATGAGACCTTTCACCAAAAGGTAGTTAGGTAGTTCAAAATGTTTATCTCTTTTAAATAGTCTATTTTTGCCTTTGTTTTGTTTGAAATTATGATGGCTACTTCTACCTGTTTAAAACTTCAACTGAAGCATTATCTATTTTGCTTCAGCTCCTTGTTTTAAGCCTGTGGACATCTTTCTGTTTCAATGTGTCTCTTATCAACAAAGTATTGTTGGATTCTGCTTTCTAATCCATCTTGCTACCCTTTTTTTTTTTTTTTTTTGGATTATACATGAGTTCATCCCATTCACATTCACAATTATGACAGTTAATTGTGTATTTCCCTCTATCTTATTATCTTTTTCTTTTCCTCATCCTTGTTTCCCATCCCCCCTTTAAGAATTTATATTTATCTCTCCTTTAATCTACCCTCCCTCTTATTCTCTTCTTTCCAATCTGTCTTTTTTCTCCTGTTCTCTGTTGAGTGAAATGCATTTCTGTGCCCTGTTATATGTGTGTTCTTGCCTCCTTTGATCAGTTCAGATGAAAGTGAGAGTCATGGTGGCTAGATCCACTTCCCTCCTTGTTTGTGTAGGCTTCTTGTATACTACAATAACATGAAATAATTTTTCCCATCCTTCTTAGCCCTTCCCCCTCCTAGTGTATTGTATTTGCCCTCCCCTTGCCTCACCCTTTTTTAATATTTCATTTATTGGTGATGAGTTTGTTTCTGGTCCAATATGGCTGATGAGCAAGCATTTTAGGAAATGTCCATTGTCTGTTCTGTCTAATCTAGCACTTCAATTTCCAGGAACATTTCTTCCTTGGTGAGAATAGCTATTGTTCCTTTCTTGTACCTGTTAAACCTGCTTCCCTTTGTGCGGTCCAATCTTGTCCAACCTACAATAAAAGAAACTAAGGCAGAGCTCCGCACCAATAACATTTTATTAAAGGGTCCATGGCCCCTCTAATGAAGTAGACCTCAATCTTCCTTACATTCTGAAATGCCCCCTTTCTTCAGGGCCTTGGATAGTGTGTGATACCCAGAGAATACAGATGAAGCAAACTAAAAATGCAGGGTCTCATTAGTTGATAGATCTTGATCTTGATCTTCCAGAAGGGTCTCCATAAAATACAGAATCCCATTGGTTGACAAATGAGCCTATAAGCAGACCCTGACAGACCTATCTTGACCTTTCAGGAGGTCCTACCTAGCTGGGCAGATTCATGGGTTGGGCTGATGTCAAAACATTTACATGAGCTAATGGGCTGGTAGAAAGGCAGGTGGCAAGCCGGCAAACAGGATCACTTATTGGTCAAATGCTCATGGTCATCTTGCCATGTTGGGCAATAGAAGGATGGAAAGAGACAGAGGGGCAACAAAAATAGCTGGGGAACTTTCCATGTCATTGAGTCACCTCCACCATGCTGGGCTTGGCCACCGTAACAAGGAAAAACAAGGGTGGAGGTCCTCTAGTTAGCTTCCTATGATTAAGCAAGTGAATTTACAATCTGCAGTTCACAGTTCTGGGGCTTAGGATACAGAACTTATAATCACTACCCCTATGGAATCATATCAAACTGATTAATACTGATTGGAATAACATAGGGATCCAATTAATCAGCTATCACACCTTATTGGGCATATCAAATGAGTGACTCCTGTGTTTATATTCAAAGTTTCTTCTCAGCTCTGGTCTTTCCATTGATAATGCTTGGAAATCCTCTATTTCATTAAAGATTCATTTTTCCTCCTGTAGGATTATACTTAGTTTTGCTGGGCAAGTTATTCTTAGCTGTAAGCCTATATCTTTTGCCTTCTGGAATACTATATTTTTAGCTCTCTGCTCCTTTGTTGTGGTGGCTGCTAAATTTTGTGCAGTCCTGACTGGGGCTCCTTTCTGACTGGCTGCTTGCAGTATATATTTTGTTTGACTTAGATGCTCTGGATTTTGACTCTAATGCTCCTGGGAGTTTTCATTTTGGAGTTGAGTGGTAAATTCTTATTTCCACTTTGCCCTGTGGTTCTAAGAGGTCTGGATGGTTTTCATTTATAATTTCTTGCAATATAATGTCTAGGCTCACTTTTTGGCCACTGGTTTCAGGTAGTCCAGTGATTTGTAAATTATGTCATTCGATTTGTTTTCCAGGTCTTTTTTTTTTTTTTTTTTTGGCTGAGATACCTTACATTTTCTTGTATGTGTTTTCTTTGACATTGTTTTATCATTTCTTGTTGTTCATATCCCGTGACCTACCTTTCCACCATTACACACGGTGAAGATCATACCTAGGTATGATTTTGTCATCTCCCACAGATCTCCCATTCCATGTTCATGAACCCTGAAACGTCTTTATCTCATCGTACTCTTTCCACCATACGTCCACCTCTTTCTCTGCCTTGAAAGCCTTAGTCCTGTTCTTCAAACTCACCACAACTTCTAGTCCCTCCACCTCTCAGCTCTTTCCTGGTCATGCATCACTCCTCTTCTAGCTACACTCTCTTCCCTTCCCCATATTAATCCCTTGATGGGCCATTTCAACTCTATCGGATCTGAAAAAAATCATGAAACCCTGATGATTGAATCCACTAAGAATTTATGTTCTACAATCTCATATGGGCCCTCATTATAGACAGGTAATACATTTATACCTCCCTATTCAATTCACTGTTTCACTCACCAGGTCTTTTCCAAATCTTTTCCTCCCTAGGGAGCAGCTAGGTTAAGGAAGACCTGAGTTCAAATCTAGCCTCAGACACTTACTAGCTGGGTGACGCTGAGCAAGTCACTTAACCTCTCTTTGCCTCAGTTTCTCCACATGTAAAATAGAGAAAATAAAAGCACCTATCTCCCACAGTTGTTGATCCCAGGATCAAATGAGATAATAGTCATTAAAAAACTTAGTAAAATGAGATAATAATTATAAAGTACTTAGCACAGTGCCCAGCACATAGTAAGTGCTATGTAAATGTTAGCTATTATTATTATATTATTCCTCAAACCTCCCATGGCTCCCCTGCCCCCACCACAGTCTCAGCTGAGAACCTTCCTAACCATTCATTCTATTCCAAATTGACATCACAGAATTACATGTGATAACTACAAGTCTCCACAGGTGATAAATGTAAGACCTATATGTGTGGTAAGGAAATATATGCGGTGGTGGTATTCACTCGGTGTATCTACTGAGACTGGTTAAAAAAAACAAACCATCCAGCCAAGAGGTTTGAATTGTCTTAGGGTGCAGTATTTGAGTTAATCACCTAGTGGAAGTCTATTTAAGGTTACAAGACTAGAGGTCTCAGCGACCATGTGCGTGGGTTAGCCGCTTTTCAATAGCCTGCAGTACCCCTACTGGCCACCAGAGGGTACTAAAGCCTACAGATGTCTGAGCAGTTCTCCCTAAACTGAGCTCCATTCTCAGCTCCAAATTACCTTTCTTTGAAA